AAATCCTGTGGATTTTTTGAAGGACATGGGAATGTACAACTGATTGGTTATCCAAATATATGACCGTTTACTGTCTCTGGGACTCAAGATCCCTGTTCCCAGCCAGATTGTTGTTGCCATTGGATCCCATCACTGTACACATGCAGTACAGCTGTAACTTCTCTTGTAGATGTCTTTTCTGTGTCCTCCAGTTGCCAACTGAAAGAAAATGTTCCCTGGGAAATCCATGTGCATCAGGACATCCCATGCCTATATACTGCTCTCTCCGTCCCTTACCCATACGGAACATATCTTGCAGAAGGACTTAGTGCAGAAAGTACTGGAAGAGCTGCCAGTAAAGTTAATGTCTACATTGCCTTTTTTCACCTGGGGGAAGACACACAGCCCGTGAGAACCTGTCTCAGCAGAAGCTGGTGTGAATTGACTATTTAATAACAAATAAGCACAGTGCACTTTTTGTAGTTGTTACTATTTTTATGCCTATGGTGAGAGCACACGTTCAGTATGGTGAGATTTACTGCCTAAGGCTGCCCCCAAAGAGCTGCAAGAGCAGTAGCCCATTGAACACATGGTGTTTCTGTTGCATGTCTCAATGAATCTTTAAAATGCTTGAAATTGTCTTTGAAATGAAATATTCCATAGCTGCAAGCTGACTGCATACTTTGTAGTGATTGCTTAACCAAATAAAGGTAAATTGTGAGGAATAAAGAAAAATTAGATTGATGACTAAAAGAAAATGATTAAATAAAAAATTCATGAAGAGAAGTTAAAAAAAAATAGCATCACAGGCTTTTGCATGAAGAAAGACTTTTCTTCCAAAGGCAGCTTGTTTTCTTTTTCAGCTATTACTGTGCATTTTATTCTCACTAGATAATAAATAAATACCAGAAAAATAAATACCAGAAAAAAATAAATAAATACCAGAAAAACTAGGGAAGGTGGTCACAAATTATGCAGAAACTGGGACAGTAAAGTTTAAAAGCTGAGGTACTTCACTGCAATTATGAGTGGGTGTATGGTGCACTGTAAATAATTAATGATGACTGGAATTGCTTTTTTTTTTTTTTTTTTTAAACTCTTAAATCAACCATGACTAAAGAGGAAAAAACAGGAGTAATTTTGTTCATAATTATTAGGTCAACTTATACACTTAAAGCCCTTCCTCTTGAAGTGTACTCTTCTAAGTGTCCATAAGGAGCATAGAACAAATAACTTGCTGTGAATAAATTGTCTCATGCCTAGACTTTTTCTCTGGTTGCAGGTTAAGACCAACAAATTAATAATTGAGAGCACATTACTCTTCAAAAAGTATTTGAGAAGCCCGCAATTGTTTGTGTTGAAGAGATTATTTTTGAAGAATCAGTGGACACTTAGATTTTGTGTCCTTGCTATGGCATATAAAACCATATTGGAATTATCTTAAATTACAGTGCATTTGAGAAGAAAATACAGAAGATAGGTAGAGTGAACTGTACATATCTACTTAAGGGAAATACATGCAAGTTAGTACAGGTGTTTTAAAATATGAATATTATTACAAAGTCTTTATGTGATGTCTGGCAATAGATATTTAATCTAGCAAAAGCACTTTCATTGCTTACTTGTTAAGGTAATTTAACAGATGAGTGATGCTATTAATGGACCACATGTATAATCTAGACTTTTTTGTTCAAAACATTCCTTTAGGGTTTACATTTCTAAACAAGTTCAGAGGCAATTTGAAGAAATGCAGCCTATACACAAACTACAGGAATCATAATATATTGACTTCTTAGCATTTCCTTTGTATTAAAAAAAAAAATAAATTAACCACTCTGTGACTTTGCGTTGGCTGAGTGGTATACCTTATTATGATAAAGTCGTTAGAAGCTAGAGACTGAACAGATAGAGGTATGTCTGAGTTGAACAGAGGGCTTAAAAAGAGTTGGTGGGACATCTGAAAAAAATAAACAGTTTTAATTGTCACTTGTTTTAAAAAGAATTGCATTAGTAATATTTATAACACTGTTTGTGCAAAAAGTTTAAGCAAAAACTCAAATCATAGCAAAACCAGCCTTTCTTCCTATCCTAACACTTTGGGATTGGAAAAAAAATTGATAACAGACATCTGGAAAACACATGATCTGTATTAAAAATATTTTTTTATATTGGTATTTTAACACCAATTAGTATGATAAAGTCACAGTATTTTGAACAATTCCTCAAGTTCACTGATAAACATTGAAGCTTTCCTTCAGCTAGTACTTCATTTCTCTTCTGAATATATGGCTATTTATTGTTGATGCTTTGGCATCACCAATATAGAACAGACAGTTGTGGAAATAATCTGTTGTAACTGCACCTTTGACTTGATGAGTATCACTGCACATACATGTAGTTTGGTCAAGAACTAAAATGAGAGATTAGATGTGGTGGTCGGCTCCAGGAACAACAGTTTCCAAATAAATGTTTGTGAAACCTCCAACTTTAGTAGCTGCATTGTATCCTCCAAAAGACATGCAAGAGAATGAATAGAAGGCCTTTTAGATAGAGAACAAGCTGTTCACAACATCTTTTTCATTTACTGAGACAAAACATTTGTTTTATACACAGATAGTACTTTCCACAGTTTTTAAGCAATGCTGGTGAAATATAAAGAATCCACTTGTTTTATTAGTGAATACAAGGAGCTTTAGCTATGCTTCTTCACATCAGGAGTCTTTTAAGAACTACTGGGCAAAAGGCATTGATCTAGATTTATTATTATTATTATTTGTATTTTGAATCCTGTGCTGGCAGGGTGGGATGTCATTAGCCATCCATCCATGTGATATTCAGGTGATAACTGGCTCTGAATGATACATGGATGAATTTTTCTTGCCATTCTGCACCTCATCTAAGAGGTCAATTTACTGACAAGGAGGTCCAAGGCAGCTGTGACTGAAATTGGCCTAAATTATTGTGAAATTACAGCCTTAGTATGAAAAGCTGCTGGGTTGCTCTCAGTTACACACATGCACACAAGCACTAGCTTGGACTGGACCACATCATAAACAAATAGTGAGGAAGCCAATATACGGAAATGAGGGCACAGCCTTATCTTCATCCTGTGAGGGGTGTTTTGTCCTTCAGTCTCTACAGCTGTAAATCCATCACTTAAATCACAACTGAGCACTGGTAGCAATTACTAGTAATAGCTAACTAATAACAACTAGTAATACCACTAAAGTATTTTTGCTCTAAAAAAAATACTTTATATATTTTTATTTATTTATTTATATAAATATATAAATAATACAGTAATATAGCACAGTAATAGTTGAAAAAGAAAAAAGCTGAAGACCTTTGGAAGAAGTCTTTCTTCGTGCAAAAGCCTGCAATGCTATTTTTTAAATTTTTCTTCATGATTTTTTTATTTAATAATTTTCTTTTAGTCGTCAATCTAATTTTTCTTTATTCCTCACAATATATATAAGTGTGTGTGTGTATCTATCTATCTATCTATCTATCTAAATAAAAGTAACCAGAATTTCCTTTATCTGTCAGCCTCTGTTTATGCTCCTGTTCTCATCTGGTAAAGCAGGTGGTGCAAAACTGATTTGTTGTTAAAGGGAACACAGAGTATTTGCTGGAAATCAAAGAAATACAGTGAATGCAGACTCCTCAAGTTTCAAGAAAAGTGCATTGTTTTATCAAAACAAACAAACAAACAACAACAACAATAACAAAAACTGTCATTTTTATTTTGGGCATAAAATGACTGGCATAATTCTCATGTCTGTTTGCAGAAAACTAAAAGACTGTGTTTGTGAACAAAATAAAAACTAATTCTGAGATTATACATCATGTATGAGTGATTAACTAGCACTAGAAGCAAAGTTGTTTGAGTTATAGTGCGGTTTTCTTTGGAAGGGACCTCTGGAGGCCATCTGGTCTAACCCTTGCTTAAAGCAGCTGTAGTAAGAGCAGGCTGTGGTGCCCCAGCAAGTTTTGAATGTTGTTGATGTTGGAGGTTCTGCAGTCTGTCTGGGCAACTTGTCCCTGTGGTTGTCCATCCTCAAAGGGAAAAAAAAAATTCCCTTTTATCTGTGTCTGATGGTTTCCTTTTGTCATTACATTACATGCTCCTGGCAAAAGTTAGGCTTTATCTCTACCTTGCCACTGAGCTGTTGAAGACCACCACAAGATTCCTCCTGAGCCCTCTCATCTTAGAGCAAATCTAGTTCTTTCAACCTTCCCTCTTGTGACTAGTGTATGTAGGAAAGGTTTGGAGAAATCCTAAAATCAGTGTGGCATAGGAGTGAGGAATGAGAAAGCTCTATTGAGGTCTGAATTGGCAGTACTGCTTGTCCTGACAACCTGAGGTCCTACATTGCAGTGGGTAGAAATGCTTTGTCAGCAAGTACGTTCAGGTCATTTTAGTAACACTGATAGAAACCATTTGGAGGAATGTCAGAAGCAGAAAATAACTTGAATAATATAATTAAGTAAACCATAGAATAAATGTCCCAGCACTTAGTGTTGCGTGCAAGATTTAACCAGCTAAAGGTTTCAATATGCGTAGTTCATGCTTCTCAAAAACTATGCCTACATGTTCATCAGCGTACATGGCAATCACGGTTTTCCATCATCTATTAATAAAACCTTGTCTTCTGAAATTTTAAAACAATTTATCTGGTGGAAAGGTTGCTTGGCTGGAACCATCCAGCAGAGCCAACCAGGGTGGTGGTGTTTATGATGAGGATTCTTAGTGCTGAACTCTGGCTTATTTTGTGCATTTTTCTACTCTTTGTCTCTATGAGAGTTGATGTGCTTGTTAAATAAGGATCTCATCTGCAGTGGAAACATACTGTTAACTGTGAAACAGTCTTCAAACCAGTGATGTATTCTTTAGGCTTTTTTTTTTTTTTTTTTTTTTTTGAGTTCCTGTTCCTGCCATGCATACAGGAATAGATGATAGATATGGTCTTCTTCCTTTCAACAGTATATTGTACCTTATTATTTTTTGTCTTCCTCTGCAGAAACTCTCCTGGATGACTTCCTTCTCACGTACACAGTTTTCATGACAACTGATGACTTGTGCCAGGCACTTCTGAGGCAATATCCTTTTAAGTGTTGTATTAGCAGGCGTCACACAGTGACACCTATGTTTGTATACTGTCAGGCCTAATTCATAAAAACAGTGTAAATGCTGTTTTTTTTTTTTTTTTAAAGCTATATAAATCTTCATAACTTTTACAAAAATAACATTTAAGATCAGGTTTAAACATACCCAGAACATAAATGTAAATTCTTAGAATACTTGTGTAATATACTTCAGAATATGTTAAGAGGAAAAAAAATGAAGTATTCTACAATGTCTGTACCTTTTGTCATTTTGATACAATATATAAATCATTTTGAGACAAAACATTTTTTTTCTCCTATTTCCAATTATTTCCATAAGCTATGGTGTATTGCTTGAATGATCTTGCAGGTATAAAATGAACCTTCTTTTTTTACTTTCTTTTCTTTTTGCCATGAAAGCATAATCTTTTCACTTAATGAAAAAAAGAATAGTGAAGGGACAGGAACAATGTATAAAGTGAGTACCTTGTGTCATTTCGTATTTCTATTTGTGAATAGATAACAATAGTGGAAATAGATTCTTTTACTCCCCCCCCCCCCCCTTTTTTTTTCTGAATAGCGTTATTTCTGCAGATAGTATAATTTGTGCAGGGAAAAAGAACTGACTTCTTCTGCTCATTTTTTGTTGTTGTTGTAGTAATGATGCATTGTCCTCCTTCATACAGACGTTCACATTGGCATCTGTGTGCAGGACAAAGGATCATTCCCACTTCTACAGGAAAGATATGACTCAACATTGTATAACTCCTTTTAAACCGTTTTTACGTTTTATAGACTTCTCTCTCTAGTATAGAAAGGAGAAAAAAACCATGTTGACACAGGGGATGAAATGACATTTCTATTGCTGAGTATTTCATTCCAAAAAGTTGAAATTCCTAACATTTCAAAGAGGATAAATATGCATTTATAACTGAACAGTTTAGTGAAAAAAACTTTAATTACTAAACAACAAACAAGGTGATTATGAAGTTTTTCCTGTCACTTGATTCAGTGAAGTTTCAGTGAACTCTTAGTATATTTTTCCCTTAACCTACTGTACCTATTGTGCAAAGAACTATCAAGGGAAAGAAGACGACTCTGATGTATCCTGTAGGAAACGAAAAGTTTTGCATTTGGTTTCTCAGTGGACTTCTCTCTATAAAGACTGGTTACATGAAGATGAGCATTTAAAACAATTTTTAAAGGTATTGAAACACTTCCTGATGTATTTCAGTGTTTAATTATCATGTTTTGTCTAAAAAGCCTCAACAGTGAAAATTAAAAAAGCATAATTTTTCATATTTAAGATTAGTTCTAAATATCTATTTATAAAGAGTTTTTTGCGTGTTTTTCCTTAATGCCTTAGAGGAAGTCATGTTGAACATGCATCTGTTATTCATATATTCAAAATGAAAAAAACATTACTTTCAGGTATGAAACTTATAAAAGTACATGCAGTCTAGAAAATGGGGAAAAATTAAGAAGGTAAGAAATAAAACTACAAAGTTGTGGAGGTTCCTTAGACACACTGGTCTGCCAGAACAGGGTCTACAGTCAGTATGATCATGGATGAAGGGCAAGTTTTGAAGCCTTTGTCTGAGGTACAAGGAAGAGTATAATGTTATTCCACAATGTTTGTATATTGAGAACAACACAGCTTTATGCATTTTTATTAAATGCATAAATATTCTGCCCCTCTTAGCAAGTATCTGAGTACCAAAACTTTATACTTGCCTTGTGGATTCGCAAATAGCCATGCTTCACTGGGCCAAGATCTATTAGATCTAGCCAATTGTGTTTTTTTGTTTTTTTTTTTCTCCCTGCTGATAGAAAAAGTATTTTGAGAGAATTTGTAGGATTGATCTTTCACCTTTCTTGAAAACTTTGTCTTGTAACTGGAGATCTTCCTGAGGGCCTTTTTGCTCTGTTCAGTCATTCACTCAAGTAAAAAAATGAATATTTAACTAAATTTGAGGAAAGTCTTGACTCAATTTAAAATGTCTGCAAACATGAGGAAGTGAAGAAGAACATTTATTTTGAAAGTCTAAATCAAATTATTATCATTTTGGATGAGTGGTGATGGTGTGGTATGTCCTAAAGCTTCTGAATGGATTGTTCAGAACTAATCCACGTTTCATGTAACAGCCATAAGTGCCATTTTATCTTTGTTTGTAGACTAGTGAGTTCAACGTTTTACGTTTTCACTTGGTGTTGATAAAAAGAGTGCTTCTCTGAAGACAAACTGAGCATTGAACTAGCCTGAAAATTTAAATAGGGACATTCTCTGCTGATTGCATAAAAACAAGGATGAAACTTATTTCAGTAGGCTAGTGCCTGAATTGATTTAGACTACTGATGTGACACCTTAGATTTATTTTTGAGTTATCAGATGTTTGCAGATACTATTTTATTTTGTAGACGATATACCGGAATGTATTAGATGATGTATACGAATATCCCATTCTTGAGAAGGAACTGAAGGAATTTCAGAAAATACTTGGGATGCATCGTCGTCAGTAAGTATTGATTATATTTGTGATCAAATCTCATTTTATTTAAAGTGTAATTTATTTTTGTTGGCATCTTGCTGGAATTCAGTAAAGATAAAGGGATGAGTGATACAAATACTGTATCCATTTTTACAATACATCTCGTCTAAAGTAAAGCTAGATTATTCCATTTTATCTGATGTTTGTTGGGTGAAGTGTGTTCTACAATTGCTCCCATCAATTTTGATTGTGATGATTTCCAAGTAAAGCAATAGTGTGTGGAAAAACTGGCAAAATGTAATTCAGAACCAGCAGTCTTTGACTTCAAACAATGCATTCTCTCTCCTCTTCCCTGCAGTATTGAGAAGCAAATCTCTTTTGCAGTGGTTGCGTTAGGGTTACTGTTTTACTAATAATTACTGTATTTGTGAAAGATATTTCCTCGGCACATTTTTCTAACAAATGGAATAATTTCTGTGATTTGTCCTTTTGGGAAATTGAAAGAGCTGTGACCCTAGCTGGCACTGGTATCAGTGTCCTCTGGGATCTCATAGACTTTCTTTTTTCTGCATTGACTTTGTAATTCACAGAAGAGTTTTCAGGTTGAGTCAGATGCCCTTAGCTTTCACTGAAGGAGCTCTGCAGCTATGCTCTGGTGAACATTTAATGTTAAAAAAAGCTTTTTTATGTTGTAAACTTAGATAGCTAGAACTTCCTAATCTTTGGATGGAAAGAATGATTTGGATTTTCCTTTTTGTTTCAGCACTGTAGATGAATATTCACCACACCGAAAGGTAACACAAGCCTGATTTTTGCTGGTTGCTAGCTAACTTACAATCTCACTTTCTTTCCTCCTCTCCACTTTCACATCTTTTCTTGCTGTCTCAGTTGAAAGTGACAGGTGACCAAAAACATGACAGGATACATCAGTGAGGCTAGACCTGCAACATTACTTAAGGATTTTTTTTTTTTTTTCCTGCCAGTGTAGCCTAGATATCAGTTGTGTGAACTAACCTGCAGTGGCTGTGACAGTATTATCATCTTAACAATACGTCCTGAGATGTCAGTGTTGAATATTTTGAACAACAAAGGTCTGGGAGCACATCCTGCCTGGCTGGATAGATGCGGCAAACCAGCCTGAGCACAGGCGTTGACTGCAGGTGGCAAGTAAACAGAGTAAAGGGGGATTTGTTGTGACAGGGACAGAGAAAGAAAGAAAGAGAAGAACATGGATTTGTCTATTTAACCAGAGGTAAAAGATGCAACTGGAGAATGTTTATGTATGAACTTTGCAGAGGTGAACTGCTGAGCTAGTGAAGTCTTCTGGATTGAAGCTGTAGCGTATAACAAGCTTGAAATGTTACTGCAGAAATGTAGAGGGCAGAACAGTGAAATTGCCAGGTAGGCTGATTGGTACATAGGAAATGTATATAAGAATAAGTGCATAAGAAATTAACTCTGCGCATGATTACAAATAACCTTGAAATGTCGAGGCTGCTTGGTCTAGGCACATCTCACTTCCTCAGAAATTCCCACCTTTGCCATTATTTAGTAAGCAACTCCCAGTTTACTGATCCAGGAAAGGGTGGGTGGATTTCCTATACAGAAACCTCTTGGCCAGATGTATGCGCTGAATGCTAGATTCTGTGAATTACTGCTTTGTAAAGGGCAGGAATGCAGAGAGTCATTGTTGTCTCTTTTTTTTCTTTTTTTTTTTTTTTTTTCCTCCCCCACTCCCTCACAGAATAAAACCTTTTTCCACCAGTTCAGTCTAAAGGAGAGCTGGCTGCAGCACAGAGGAACCATGAATGAAGCAGAAGAAAGTAAGTATGACTGAAAGAGTGGGGGAAAACCCTAGTGCACTGCCTTTAAATGTCAGGGCAAAATTGTTTCTGAGTAGGGGCTGCCTGTAAGGTACACTTTATGAGACATACAGATTCTGAACAGGACCCTAGGGCCACAAACAAGAAAGGTTTGGCTGTATGAAGATTATCTTTCTGACTCCAGCTTTGCAGGGTCTCAGTGGTAGAATGATACCTCAAGGGCTTTCCCCCACCCAGTTCCTCCAGTGGTTCTGTGACAGAGCTATGTGATTCACAGGAGAGGCAGCCTATCCAACAGACTTTATTCCTGCCCTGTGTCATGATTTCAGTCTCTTGACCGAGATGTTGGGTGCAAGAGGTGAATGAGCCTGTCAGGTTAAGTGGGGCAGGATCTGCTAACGCTGAGAACTGGTGTCAGTTCCTTCTCTCCTCAAAAACCTTTCCTTCTGGAGGTTGAGATGCCACTATGCTTTAATGTCAACCATTTCAAAATATGACTTCCCTTCGTTGTTGGTAATGCAATAATAAAATTAAGCTCTCACTGTCCCGTAATGCCTTCAAGAGGAAGTAGGCAGAGAGGAGAATAACACCACGCAAATGAGAAGAGAACAGGCAGAAAAATCCTCTCCTGGGAAACCTTGCCCTTTAACAACAAATCTTTGTTTCTCCTTGGGAACAAAACTCCACAAGTTCATGTTGAGTCAAGATATTTTTAGTGCTCATTTGTGACATGGCAAAAAGACTGCTCCATTAGTGCCAAGTCTTTTTCTACACTATGTTCTGCTGATAGGTAGCCTCTTTCTGCGCCTGAAAATCTTCTTGAAGTTTAGGCTGACAAAGCTGCTTCTAAAAATGTAATTTCTGGATGAGAACCCCCACATTCATTTTTCTTCTTAAAAAGTCTGACACCACTCATGAGAAGGAAAGGTATTGGCACAAGAGAGGGGACAGATCCCATGGCCACGGACAGGAAGAGTAGGACCCAGCAAAGCCATAAATTGCTTTACTCTTTCTTTGTGAGCATGAGCCATGGAAGATGCTGGGACTGAGGGAATGAAATAGAAAAAGTGGGGCTGGGGAAAGGAGAGAGAAATGCCTGGGTGTAACAGAGGGAAATGGGATGGGCTGTGGAGTGCTGCCAAGAGATGGTGCTTGTAGAGGATGGGTTTGTCCAAGCCACGCCATGCCTCTTGCCCTCAGGGCCAGAGGTCAAACTAGAAGCATTTTATCTCCTAATATAATGTTACCTCTCAGGGTTGTTTACAGCCCGTGCCCACAGCCTCCTGGTGGCATTCCCTCCTGCATCTCACTGAGGGGCAGCGTAGGCTCCTGAAGGGATGTCATGGTCCATGCCTATAAATATCATAGATTTGTGGAGGGGAAGAGGATCAGTACGATGGTTGTTCTCAAGGACCTGATTTTGTAGGTTGGTTCAATGCTAAATAAAGGGTATGTCAACAGCTCAATTATAAGTTAATATATTGCTGTCACTTTCCCCTCCCAAATGGCAGAGGTGGAGTTTTCAAAAAAATTCACTGTAGTTGTGTTGTGCTCTGCATATGGAGGCCAAATATTGCTGTCTTATTTATTTATTTTTTTCTACCTTGCATTTAGAGTGCTTGATATATCTACCTACTCTATATAGAGTTTGATATATCTACCTTTTCACTAGTTTTATGCATTCTGAAGACAGATTCTGACACACGATGAGCACATGATTTACTGTCTGCTAGCAGATATAGGTTAAGAAAAAAATTATAAAATCAAATGACTTTTCTTCCCCAAGGTTAAATGTTAAGTTCCTCCTTCCTTCTTATCTTTGTTTTTCTTTTCTACAACACAAAAAAGATGCTCAGTAAGATAGAGTTCTTAACCACTTCTGGCATGGTCTCAGTTAATGACAGTGCCCTGAAGCTGTGAAGATTTGTACAACAGGCAAAATTGCTACATATATTTGTCAGTAAAAATACAACATTTCTGGAGAAGAATAGTATTATCTTATACTGTCATGGTAGCAGCCTGTCTACAATAACCACTTAAGTAGAAGAAAATGAAAATTTTAAGCACTTAAGTGAGTAAGGAATCCAGAGCTGTGGCAATTTTCATTAGCAGATGTCATTTTGAAACATCTGTGCCAGTCTGCAGGTCTGTTTCTTTCCTTTTAAGTATGGCAGCTGTATTTCAAATATCTGAATACAGCAAACTCAGAAAGAAAAAAAAAAAAAAAGTAAACCTAAAATTCTGGGAAACAGGGATCGTACATCATTTTCATTGCAGAAACAAGGTACTGCTTGAGCCAACCACAACGTTACCGATGGGAATCTCCCTCCCAGAGCCTAAACAACTCTTGGACTTCCGTGGAAGTTTTGAGCCCAGGGAATTTCTCCAAACCAGTCCCTTTTATGTGTGCTGCAAGTGACTCAGAAAGAGAGTTTTGGAACAAATTGCACTGCAGTTCAGGCAGCCTCTGCTGGTGCTAACATACCCTGGCAGTGCATGTAGTTTAGATGTCTCTTGAGGAACTTACTGCTCCAGGTGAAAGTGGAGGGGCAAAATAGGTTCTGCAGCAGAAGAATGGTGATTTATCTGAACCTAAAAGGAAGGGGCAAAATGTGGTAACAGCTGAGTTTGCAGAGAAAACAGACAGCAGAGGAGGTTGTCTGCTATGCATCCTCATGGTAGGGAGCTCTTGAGTAGGTGTTGCTGACATGCATCCATGGAAATGCATCTATTTGTCCCTGTCATCTCCCAGGAAGAGGGGGTGGTGAGGGGGAAAATGGTGATAGTTGGTGCTTAGTTTCACATCCCTGTTGGGCGGGGTGCGGGAGCAGCCCTTCCTGCAGCTGGGGTATTGCAGAGACTGGGTATGTGCGTTTCCCGCTTTTCTGCTGGGGTCTCTGACTTCTGCTGAGCCTGTCTTTCTTCCTCTGCACAGTATTCTGCCGTGTGTATATAACGGAGCACTCCTATGTCAGCGTGAAAGCTCAAGTAACTGCTTCGGCGCAGGAGATACTGAAGATTATAGCGGAAAAGATCCAGTACCCAGAGGAGGAGCTGGCACTGGTGACAGTCACGTTCTCTGGTGGTAAATACCGTTCCTTCATCCAATTACTCACCCTTTAGTGCATCACCTTAAGGGAGGGCTGACATTTTCTGGTGCAAGGATACAGCTGTTCCTGCATGGGCCCACAGCTGGATGACCAGGGAACAATGAGGAGCTGCATCCCAGAGTCGTTCCCATGGCAACAGCTCATTCTTGGGTCCTGCCGGATGCGGTGTTTCCATGCTGGGAAGGGAATGCAAAGGACTGTCCGTATCCATCAGTATTACAAGATATTTTTTTTGTTCCCCACAGATAAATCTACTTTCACATCTAAATTAATTTGGAAGGCAATGAGGCATGGTTTGCTTTTAAAATATAAAAGGGAATAGCAAATACTGTATGTGTGACTGCTTTCTTATTTACAGCATGGGGAATGAATATTCTCCAGGAGAAAGGAGGGAGACATGTATTTGCACAGTCGAGATACTGAGGCAGTATTGCTTATGACTGACATTTTTTGCCTGTTAGTTCAGTGTTTCTCATTTACCAAGAAAGGCTTATTGTCTTTACGTGGAGGATCAGACTGATTGTGGGCTGACACTAGGGACCAGCCAAAAGCCAAGATTTTGTTTGGTGTCTGTCAGGCCTCAAAATCACTGGTCAGGTTGTTTTCTTCATTGCGGTATCTTTTCTTTGTCTCTTATTGAAAATAAAGGAAGTGATGTAACTAGGTACATGGAAAGGATAAGCTGGACCTGCAAAGAAGGGCTCAGACTTGAGAATGCCTGGGCTGTGCTCTCAGCCAGCATTAACCAGTGTAGATCCCAAGACAAAGGGCAAACCTGTAAAGATATTGCATTCAGTCTTACTTCTTTGAAATACAGACAAATGCTGGCTTGTTCTGTTTATTTATCTGATTCAGAAGTGGAGGTCACATTTTCCCTCCCCCATGTCAAACACAATTAAATAACCTTTTTTTGCAGGATTTTGGTGTGGGTGGCAAGGAGATGGCGCCCTGCCCTGGCAATTGAGAGCCTGGGCGTGGAGCAGCCACACGGGAGCATTACATGTAGGCGTCCTGGCCAACTGGGTTACATCACTTGCAGATGTACTTGTTTTACCCTTGTGTGTGCCCAAACTCGAGTCCATTGCATTTTGCAGCACTGCAAGATCACTCTGCTGCTGTTATTCTTTGGGTGTTGTGCTCCCGGTCAGGAGCAGAGCAAGTTTAGCTCTGATAGCAATAAATCTGGTGCTAACTACCTAGTTATCTAAAGAAAACCAGCAATTCATAAATAATGAAACATGCTATTATCTCTAGACCGCATTGTTTCCTAAGAAAGCCACAGAAAAAAGAAGTCACTGCCATTTGGCTGTTCAATAAGAAGAAATCATTAAAATGCAGGTACAATAGGACTATCATTTGTACACGACCATTGTAATTTCCAAAATGCTGTTTGGTCACATGGAATGAATAATTGGAGATAGCACAGCTTCAGTATCCTTGTTCCTATGCATTGCCACTTGTGTGCTATGTGCAATAAACAGCAGCCTGCCAATGCTTTATTTTTTCCTTTGTTTTTCACTGTTTGTGTGACTCAGAGCTGTCATCCACCATCCACTTGGAAGGCAACAGGTTGAGCGTTGAAGAACGTGTTTTTATTGTACTCTTTAAATGCACAAGCAAGGTCTTTTTATTCAAAATTATCTTGAAAGGACATACTGGTAGTTCAGCATGAATGTTTCTGGCATCAGTGTGAGCACAGGAGGGGGAAAAATGGATTGTTAGTAATGATGTTTTGCACTCAGACTCCTGTTTCTACCCCTCCCTCATAGGCCATGAAAAGTCAGCTGTCAACATGCTTGTCGTGCTTTTGGATCTACATTAATACAGTGACTGTAATCAAATCTCATGTCAGGTCTCCAGAAGATTACTTGGAGCCTGCAGGAAAAGACAGTTTTCCTAAGGCATGAGTGTTTAGATGTGTTCTGGGTCTTCACCCCCCCCCCCCCCCACCTTTCTCTGGTGCATCCAAAATTGCCCAGAGCAGAACACTGCCCAGTGAGTGGAGAAAAAAAGTCCTTTCTCTTTGCTGGCTGTTTGGTGTGTCCTGCTGGTTAGTAAATAAATTGGTAAAGGTCTAGAGGAATCATTTCTCTACATAAATTAGTTAACAAGGACCTTTTTTCCCAGTTATTCCTCTGCTCTATGGGTTGAACAGCTACTGATGAGGTCTCCACCCCTGTTCTTTTCTGCCTGTGACACACAGCAGCTCAGTCTCTTGAGGATGAGACACGTTGCTTTAACTGAAGTCACTGCATTTGTGGTAGATCCACTGGGTTGAAATGAAATGTTCACTAATGCACAGGAGGTTAGACTAGAAAATGTAAGGGTTTCTCTCCATTCTATCCTCTGTGAAGTCCACACTGAAAGCAGGTTATGGAAGACTTTGTGCTCTAGTCCACCATCAGAGACATTTTTCTTTTATTCTGAATAGTGTGGAGATGATGAAACCATGCTTGGTATACGTGTGTTTAATGCTTAGTTATGTTCTAAAAAAAATAAATAAGTGGCTTTACAAATATGTTTGTAATTTTTTTCTTATATTTATATGCAGCTTGTACTCCTTTTTCTGAAGCTTGTGTGTTTTATTTTCTATTTTTAAAGAAAAACATGAACTACAACCAAATGACTTGGCCATCTCAAAATCTTTTGAATCATCGAGTCGGATGTTTGTCTACCGAAAAGATCTGACTGATTCTTTGGTAAGGATGTGTATTTTGTACTTCCAATTTTTTATGTGTCTGACTGCAGATCAAGGGCTTCCTATTCATTTAAGAGTGTGTTTTCAGTACATGACTTATTTTTCAGTTCCTTAGTGAAGCTTACTAAGCTGTTCTATACCTGAAAAAAAATCTTGCATTAACAGCAGTTATTTGACTGAACAGTAATGGAATTTGTTCATCAATTTCAAATATACCAAAGCTTCTATAAAGCTTAAATCTTTCAATCTATGTCAGCCTAGAAAAGCTGGCTTGTGGTTGTACAGGGCTGACTGAGATGAGGATTACTTCAAAGCTCACAACTCCATTTTTTACCCCTTGTGCTTTTACGATACATAAAATAGCTAGTATAGAGTTACAGAAGTGGAAGACAAACTCTACAAACGTGGAATTACTACATGTAGATATGTATATATGTAGTGTGAGTTTTACCAAAATTACTGAGTATCAGCATGACCACAGTGTTGTGGCATCCACATGGTTATTTTGTGGCTGGTGGCATCTCCTTTTCTCTTCCGTCTTTCTGTCTTTCCATGTCTCTGGTGCTGGGGAGGGAAGCATGTTGAAAGGCAGAAGTTCTCTCATTCCCCCTGTCCTCAGGAAATGGGATTGAAAAATCTCTCTCCCTGTGCTTTCTCCAAACCTCAGTAAGGCAGCAACTCCCAAGATTTAATCTTTTCTGCTAATTATTCATACGCTTCGAGGAAAGTGCAGGGACAGTATTACATCTGACTTCTATTTGTTGTCAGCACAAGTATCTGTGCATTCATCCTAGCAATGAGAAATGTCTATTTACATTTTGTTGGATCAATGTGCCCTGAAGAGCTGACATGCTGATATCATTGTAATCTGTCATCCCCATTATCTCCAGCATTCTAGCTACCTCTAAAAATGCTAATATTAAGGAAGGGTTTCTAGTACAGACAGGTGACAGCCAATCTAGTTTCATTAGTTGCATAATAAAAATAGCAAAACTTGCTGTAACTGTCAAGAATATAGCACCAAAGTAATGGCTTAACTGATAAGAATAATCTTTCATCTTGGCAGATGGTTCATGTGCCAGGTTTCAGACTGATGAGGTAAAAAAAAAAACAAGAGAAATACAAACCTTTGAAAATCAGAGCTAATAATGGAAATTCAAATGACCCTTAATACTGGCGATACCAGTGAACTCCACAGTGATAACCTAAGTAACTTCTATGAGTCAGAACCTGCAGTGTTTTACTATTTGTTAGCAACTGCACTTGGAGTAAATTATGTTGAATTTATGCTGTTTGTAAATGTATGTGGATTGGTGGCAAGTTTTGTATATTTATTCTGGAGCTGGTGTGTTTGCATGATGATTCCTTTACCTTGTAATACAAACATTTCCTGGTGTCAAAATTTACTTTCTTGAGAATTTCAGAAGTTATATTTTCATTATGTTCATTACCTGTTTGGTCAGTGTTCTACACTTAAGGTTTAGAGAGAATAAGAGAAAGGGAAGGAGAAATCCTAATCCAATGGGAAATCATTGATCCTATTGACCAGTTCTTGTTTCAGGCTATTTATTAAATAGGCTATAACTCATTGATTTTGATTAGTGTGGAAAGAAAAACACCTCAGTGCACTTAGAAGATTACTTACTCAGTCAGCTCTGTTTTGTACCTTGGTCTAACATCTGTTTCATTGTGAAGCTTTTGGCATTTGCTCAGAAATTTTTGTTCTTGTCAATTATTTAGAACCCATTTGCTGAAAACGAGGAGTTGCAGCAACGGTCTGTGAGAATTTTGGGAATCAACACCTGGGATCTTGCCTTAGAACTAACAAATTTTGACTGGAGCCTCTTCAACGCAATTCATGAGGTGAGGAGCACCATGCTCGCTTCAATGTACATTGTTTTCATGCAGCAGTATATTGCTTTGGTGTCTTGATATTGCACCAGGATTTTGGAGCATTGGTATTCCTTGGTTCTTGGTTCACTGTCATGACAATATGATGTCACAGTTCTCAGTAGTTGTGATATTGAATCAGGTCCAAGACATGGGTTGTAATCCTTGATACTGCAGAAGTTTGACAAAGGTTTCTAACTTCCCTGTGGTGGTGCATCTCATGTTCCCTGTATACATCGTGGGTTTTACTGAAACTTGCCTCAAGAGAGTAAAAGATCACAATTATTCTCTAAAAACTGTCTGTATGAATGTGTTGTGGATGCAAATTGTCCTTTGCACTGAACAATATTCCAGTAAATACAGGACTCTGAATAAGTGACCTTGATTTCACTTTAATCACACACACACACACACACACACACACACACAAATAAATCACTATTTCAGCAACTTAGATGTTCACATTACTGCTCTGGTTAGGTTTCAATGAAATAAAAAAACACTGGGCAGGCTTTATAAAATGTCATAATATCCCACTTCAGTGCCCATTGGATTGTTTCAATGACTTTAATAGGTTCTGCTGTGAGCTTCTGAGTAAAACACACAGCTAACAGTACAAAATGTCACTTGAAAATATCATTCAGTGAAAAGTGTGATGACTTTCTGTGAAAGTGACTGGGAAATTCCCTTGCCTCTCATCAGATGCTTTCCTTGATCTTTTATTTCATGTTCTTTTACTCAGGTTAGACACTTTAAAAACAGAGCTAGTCAAGATTTTTTTTTTCTTTGCACAGAAAGCAAGACCCATGCTTCTGTTCATGAAAATTTGGCCATTTTTAGCAAGAAATTGGAGTCAAAATTTTTCAAATTCTGCAGTGCTCTGGGATTTGGTTACTTCTTCCTGCTGGAACAGAAGTGATGAAATTCAGAAAGAGACAGATTAGTTATGTCCTGTATCTTCCTGAAACGAGAAGTGGAACTGCAGGAAATCTTAAAAGAAAAGTACATCTTGCAGGACTTCCAGTTTACCTGAATAATGTAATAAGCCTCTAGACTGCTAAGCCAAACCAAAAACTGAATCATTTGTGATTGGCTCATGGACAATAAAAAATAGCCATTTGTATCCAAGTCTTGTCTCAGAAATATTTGTCATAATTTATAACTTCTTTATATTTAAGTCATTTTTGTATCCCTAATAATATTGACAATGTCTTCCAGCAAGAGCTCATATACTTCACATTCAGCAGACAGGGCAGTGCTGAAAACACTGAGAATCTCAGTCTTCTGCTTCAAAGATGCAATGAGGTCCAGCTTTGGGTTGCCACTGAGATACTCCTCTGCAGCCAGCTCTGCAAACGTGTACAGTTGGTCAAAAAGTTCATCAAGATTGCTGCCCAGTAAGTTACTACAGTTGCAACAAAAATCCTTGAATTCAAATGCTTTATATATATCTATATATATGGTGGGAAAAGAGAATTAGGTGCAAAGCAAAGACAAAAACCTAATTTGCCATCTTGAGTTCTAAGAATGTAGTAACCATACCTAGATAAAACAGTCCATAAACAACGACAGCAAATACTGGCCAAAATTAGATGTGGTGGAGTGTATGATGTTCAAATCTTCCCCAGCTACTCTGCCAGTGTATTTGCAGCATCAACTGCAAAATACATGATGATGTAGGGCTACCTCCATTCTTAACAGGGCTAACCTGAGGAAGCATGTTGCAAAACATTTGAGCAGCAACACTCATTCTCCAAAGACTATAAGAGAACCAGAAAACTGTTTTAAAGGCCTACCTCTAGAGAGGAAACTCACTTCAGTAAGCTGTTGCCCCATGCAATCCTGTTTAGAATACTCTTTTAATTTTTTGAAAGGGGTGGGGGAGGAAGGGGGAAGGGAAGGGGAGGGCAGAGGTTCTTCACTAATTAGATATGGCAGTCTATTCTTGCACTATTAGTAAGTAGTACTGGCATTTATTCTATGCCTTGGAACAAAATACACATATACTATAGACAGAGAGTTCTTCTCTCTGTAATTATTCTTATTTGGGTAACCAAGGGAATGGAGCAATTTAAATATGTGCAACCATTCTTCTTGCCTTTCTCCACTTGTTGGTCTTTTGCAATATTTGAATATGCATGTTCATGGAAAATGTATAATTTGTTCCCCTCATCGACTGGGTTGATTTAATTTGCAAAGCAGTTACATACAAAAGGCTGTTCTCTACTGAAGCAGTGCCTTTGGTGAAATGAATTTTTCTAATCTAATCTAGTGTAACTCATAAATGTGATTTGATTTAGGTTGCAAGTTCTGGGGTATACAGTAATGCTTTCATTTTCTGCCTTATCAATGGCCAAGTTTGGTCCAGTTACGTCAAAACTGGTTGGTTCTGTGTGCCTTGCTTGCACCACAATAGTGTTAATTTGCATTCCAAGAAAAGTTTCATATCTGTCCCACATGAATAGGGATATATTTGTCTCCAGACTAGAATCTTTCTCTATGTGAATTAATTCTGTGTCTGTTAAGTGAATAGTTGAAGTTGTGGAAACTAAATAAAGTTGTCAGTAAATGGGAGACAGGCTCTCCCAGTGCACTGGAGAAGCACCCATCAGATAGTTATGTCAAAATCTGCATACTGCTATACAAATAGGACAGTATCTAGTTTGCTGAGGTCTTGTTTTAATCCAAAAATCATCTGTCTAAAACAAAACCTTATAATATCTCATAAATTCTGGACAAGTTAGGGTGGAGAAATAGTGTGCTATGCGCAGCCACAAGCAGCCCTGCTGTTTTGTTTATGACCAAGGCAGAGAGGAAAGGAGCTGAGAGCAGCTCTGACTGCTCCCTGTTTTTTCTTTTAACTTCAAGACACGACACTTGAAGTTAAGTGAGAGATGTGCCATCTAGAGATGTTATGCCATCTTTAGTGTGAGCTTTATATAAACTTGTAACAAGTGCCAGAGAGTTTCCAGTCTAAGGCCTTGGCATGTGCTTTTCCACGGTGATTAATCCAGTGAAGACAGTGGATTCACTCATACCTAAAATCATCTTAAGAGGATTCTCTCTTACACGCACACATCTTTTTATTTCAGGATTTCAAATTTCCTAATGGACTAGAAATAAGCAGGGGCCAACTGTATGTAGTGAAACGTCGAAGAATAGAGGTATCAAGCAAATTCCACAGGGACCACTATTGGAACCAGTGCAAACTGCAACTAATTTATAGGGATATGTAAATTGAACATTAATCAGATTTTCAGACAATAAAAATGATGAGGGATTGCAAATGCATTGGAGGATTTAAAAAACAATAAAAAAAAAAGAATGATCTAAGGAGTCTAGTGGCATGTGCAAACAACAGTGGGATAAGATTTAATTTAGATAGATGCAAAGTAATTCAGCTAGGGAATGCTAATACTGAGCTGAAGAAATAACTGCGTGATTGTAAAGAACAGTGCTGTGACAAAGGTCTTTGGGTGATAATAGATGACAAATTAAAGACAAGGACAAAGTGTGACACTGTTCCAAGTAAATATATTTTATATTTGTTTTATACTTGCATAGGAGAAAGATGTAAGAACTTAGAGGTGAAGCAGTAATTGTGCTTCTCCTTCTTTTCCCACTGTCTCACATATCTCCTTGGTAAGAAGTAGAGCAGGGAGAAAAGTTAAAATGAATTACAAAGAATTCAATGAAAGATAATAGCAATATAGAGAAATAGATTGCACTCCATGACCACAAGGAAAAATTGAAGGAACCAATGATGTACAATTTACAGAAAAGATGAAAGAGGGGATGAAAATATTTATAATACAACACAATAGAGGTCATGGAATTATTCTGTATGGTAAAGGACAGCAGAGAGTAACTTGGACATTGAAAAGGGAAAATTACTTTTGACAGCAAAGGAAGAAAAATAACCTGCCAACAACAGGGTTGATGAGACAGTGGAACGTGTACTAAAAAACTTCTTAGAGACCACATCACCTAGACTGCAGGTGGCCATGATAGGACATTTAATGAGTTCATTATGTGGAAGATGATTGTATGTTAGTGCTGAGAGTTGAAACTGGGCTCAGTAACCTAGGATACCTGTGCATTCCATTTATCTCTTATTCTGAGGAGAAAAATCAGAATACAGCATTCATATTTTTATTCCACAGCTGTAAAGCCCAAAGAAATCTGAATTCATTCTTTGCTATTGTTATGGGTCTCAACACTGCGTCTGTCAGCCGGCTGTCTCAGACCTGGGAGGTAAGACACATCTTTGTATCTTTTAGACCCTGTCAAAAACATTTTTCATCTATGTTGTGTACTGGTGAATTGCCTTTTCTTCCTAATTATTTGTTTTTCGTGCTCAAATCTAACAGAGGGCAAATGCCACTAGAGAAACTTTACTGTGACCTGAAGCCGTAGGTACACAGCCATTCAAATAAAACTAAATATGCCTTTCCAGAGTTTCTAAATAAGAACAAAGCAAGGAGATCTTACCCGTTTGTGGAAGAAGGGGGTGGGTGTGGACGGGGGGGAAGTCAGGTACAATATCTTAGCATTTGAAGTATATGTCAGAACAGAAAGTCTTAAAAGATTGGTTCTAAACAAAGCATACCTTATTATGGAATAATTTCATTTATTCAAGGTATATATATCTTTGCTGATGAAACTAAAATGGAGGAAGAAGTCATTTAATGTAATATGCAGAGAAATTTCATCCATTACCACCCGCCTAGCACCATAAGTGGGCAGTACTCAAAAAAATGAACCTGTAACACAAAGTAAAAACTAATAGCTGTGATCTCCTTTGTTGGAGATGCCCTTGAACACCAACAGCTGAAACCCAATGGCCGTTGAAGGGTCACAAAGCTATCTAACACAGTCCAGTGCAGTCTTTCCCTCTCAGCTGAAATCATGCATGTGAAAACATCACTGTGTATGTCAGTGACATTGGCATGTAGAGAAATGAGGGCAATGACTGCTGCTTTGGGATGGAGTTTACAGGAACTTGGATAAGCAAGGCTATTTCAAATAACAGTTAAAGCAAAAAAAAAAATAGGAAAAAAAATACACATTTGAGGAAAACAATACAGAAACCCCTTGTTTCTCCAGCTACTAAAACGCCTTGCCCATGAGGGAACATTTGCCCTCTTATGGGTTGACTTCATCTCTTTTCTTTGGGCTTTGGTAGGAGAGTGGAAGGGGCTAAATACAGGTGGCAATGGTGTAAGTGTCTCCAGCCTGCAAGCACACAGAGCTCTCCAGTGCGGTGAGACCCCTCTGAAAATCATGCGCCACAGATGTTCTTCTCTGGGAAGAACAAAATGTATTGCTTGTCTGAACAGGGAGTGCCTCTGCATATGTATCATTGTAAATATGTCAAGTTCCTGTGTGTAAAATATTTATGAAGTTGCATGTGTTTTTTATAAAAATTTACTGCACTGGAAATTTCAAAAGCAGAAGGTTATTTGCATTAGTAATGTGACTTCTAGAAAGTAGAGCAATGTTTATAAATTAATTATAATTACTTACACATGTAAATGAAGCCACCTAAATTTAAGCAACAATTTACACACTAAACTATATTGGTTCTGCACTTGAATCCTTAAACAAGTAATATACCCTGAGCATATTCTACTTTTTTTTTTTTTCCACACTATGCAGTGTTTTAATGAGCCTAAGATTCACTGATTGAAGATATTAAAAATGTGCAATTGCAATTCCACATTCAGTTATCTTAGCATTTTAATCGTACGGCTCATCCACTTAATCTTAATTGTTCTAAATCTCTTTGGTAGTGTCATTGTGGCTGTTGTGGTCTAAGTACACAGGCAAGGCAAGATTTGTAGTAAAGGGATATATTCTACTTGAGCTAACCAGTGTAGCTGGAAAAAAGATACACAAACATTCAGGTCCACACACCTGTCTTCAAGTCAGAAATACAATAAGCAAAATTCAAATTGAACAACAATTGCTTAGAGTATGAGATGAATCCATTAAAGCATCTTAGAGAGTAGATGCTTATGGAATAGAGCTGGCATTAGCATATAGGGAATGAAGGAAGAAGTTATGTTGTACCTGAGCTCCCAAGGAGGGCATTTTGTGCAATTCCTTGTGGGATTAGGATGAGACCTCAGAGATGGGGTACTCGTTTTTTAAGGGAAGTTCTTGTTCTCTGAGAGCAGCATGGAATACCATGGATAAGCACCAGGGTGGTGTATTTAAAAGCACTGAGTGTTATGCCAATTCATTTCCAGAGCCCATAGTTTAGAGAGAGAGAGCAGTTACAAAAATAATATTTAACCTGGTTGTGATTACAGAATCTGAATCCTCAGTCAGTGCTACTATTCCTATCTTGATAAATACAACAGATATGGATGCTGGGCAAGAAAATAAAAGTGGCTGCTAACATGCAGTTTTTTTGTAGAAGAATGGTGGAAAGTGTGGAGACAAGGCTTCAGTCACAGGCATTACATTCAGGTCTGTAAGTAGGGTGTTTAGAGCTGAGAAAGCAGAGGTAACTGCCTAAGGAAGTGCAAAAAATCAGTCTCATGGAAAGAAAGAAAAAAATAATAAACATTTTTCTACTTTTTAAAATCAAATTTACTGTTTTTTTTTTCTCTGTGTTCCCCTACTTCAGAAAATTCCTGGGAAGTTCAAGAAACTTTTCACTGAACTGGAAAGCTTGACAGTAAGTACAGTGATGACAGCCCAACAGAGTTGCTTGTTGTTACTTGCCATCCTTCTTTGTAATTTATTTCAAGACCGCCTGTCATTATCTGGAGCTGAAACGTGGTTACATCACATCCCAGGTTTGCCATAGGCCACAAAGCTCTCCAGAGCTCAGAGGTGGTCTCCAAAAAAGAAACAAGCCCTGTTCCTGACAGCTGGAGGAAAGGCAGAGAGAGGCAAACATGTCGCTAGTTCACCAGTACCAGCTTGGAAACTGTTCTGTTGCCTCTGGTGGTTAATCGTCCTCTATCCAAAGAAATGTGCTGCATATCAGAAGACAAGGAGGGTAGTTTTAAAAAGTTAAAAAAATAAAATAAAAAATCAGAGGCTCGGGATCTTTTTCACCATTATTAAAGCTGAGTAAACAAGTGTTTCCTCTGGCTGTCAGGGAGCTGGATGCCTGGTGAGATCGCTGCCTAGTGCAGGGAGCATGAAATCCAGCCTTTAACAATTGTCATGCTTTTGCACTTTGAGTCCTTTATTAATTAACATGTTTTCAAGATGTCTGTGAAGCTGGTGTACAAAACCGCTTATTCATAGAGGAAATTGAGATGAGTTTTTGAATTACACAACACTGATGATACATAGTCTCTTATTTTCTTTGACAATGTCCAATATGTTCCTTTTATCTGAGACTAGGCAGTTTTGTTTCTTGGTTATTGGGTGAGAGGGAGCAATGAAGGAGGTGTTTATTTTTTAAGAAGAAATTAATCGGCAATATATTCCAAGGGTATAATCAGTGCTAGAAAGTAAGCTGAAGAGATTTTGCTAATAGAAATTTGTGGGGAAATCATAGAGCAAAGTGAATCTGTTCTGCAGCTTACTCCATTTTTAGAACTGTTTCATCTGGAGGAACATAATTGCTTTTGTTGTTTTCATTGTTTACATTTCCTGTTCAGTTTAGTAAGTCACCTAGTTTAGAAAACCTTTATCTACCTCGTTTCCGAAGAAACCTTTTTATATATGTCATGTTCAGATTGTAAGCCGATAATGGATTTAGAATTGCTCTTTTTATAGCCTATTGATTTTTCTCTCTATTACCCAAATGGTTTTGTAGGACCCTTCTCTGAATCACAAAGCTTACAGAGATGCATTCAAGAAAATGAAATCTCCGAAAATTCCCTTCATGCCCTTACTTCTGAAAGGTATTGCTGAAGCTTGTCTGCTCTTTTTTGTCATGTCAGTGCGTGTACAGAAATTTGTGATGGTTAGTTAATACAATTAAAAGGTGATTTTTCCTTCACGTGGGGTTATGATGTGTGTGACAGACACAAGGATACCTACAAGATAGTGCTCAGTGTTGATAATAATAAACGCAGCTGCTTTTTAAGATGGGGAAAATGGCAACTTTCACACAGGTTTTCAAATGGCAGTGCTTTCCCCGCCAGGCATGGGCAGAGCAGCCTGTGGAGGCTGCAGTTGCATCCCCTTGAGGCTGGCAGGCAGACAGCAGTGCTGTGGGTCCTGCAGGCTGCATGCACGCAAGCAACCATGGTCACACTGCTGTTGGGAGGGTTTGCCTGGCCTCCGTGAAGCAAAACTGACTGGTGTTACAGATTTTGTAAAGCTACGGAGAACAGGATCTGCCCCCTTCCTCTGTCCTGAGAGGAGAGGGTTGTCAAGCCTCCTGTAGGTCTGAGATACACAATAAAACTCCTTGCTTAACTCAGCGAGTTGGGCAGCTAATTCAGTGGCAGGTATTTCAAATACTCCATTATCTCAGCGTCATTAATTATTAATCATCTTGTCTTGAACATGACAAATTCATTTGATTAGTCCTTTATTCGGAAAGTGTTCTCGTTAGGCTGTTTATGCTAAGCTGCTACTGCTGCAGGTTTAAAATGTTTGAAGACAGGTCTCTAAACAAGCTGGTGACAGTTTGGGAGCCATAAGGCACTTCTCTTCTTTGCGTGCATCAAAGGAGTTTGCATAAATTCCGATGGATACAATTATCAAGACTTCAAAAGAAGGCAAATATAAACAAGTAACTTGTAGCAATGATGTTTGCACAGCGTTGCAATACAGGGTATAAAAGCATGCACGTTTTTATAAGTGCATTCATGCAGCATGCTCTCATGTCTCTAAAGTGTGTTGGATATAACAAGGAGACTGCAAAATGATACAGTAAGCTTCTTCAATACAGTGATCCATAAGGAGATGTTGCCCTGGCTGGTAATTCTCAATGTATTGTACAGTACATGTGACTACATCCTGTATCAAACATGTTTGTATTAAAATTATTTACAAGACCAATAAAATAAGTATCAATAGCACAGAAATCATTAATAAGTCAACAAATTAACTGTATTTCAACACAAGAGGAAGAAAAGTTGTTTCAAGAAAAAAAACAAAACAGTATAAACCTTTCACTAATTATGAAAAATAACTTCAGAGTGTCCTTTTAAAGTTAATTAAATGTAAATGCAGAGCTCTCTTACAGCACAGACAGCATTAGAAAATCAGGCAGATTTTTCAAATATGCAATAAAATGCTGTGTTGTACCATTACAACATAGCTCAGATGCAATTTTCTGCTCCACTGAATTTATCTAGACTCTTAGTTGTTGGCCGCAAAGCAAATTTCTGTTCCTTCCACCCTGAGAGATACCCATTGCAGTCACAGACTTAAAAAGCTGTCTGGAAATTTCTGCTTCCAGTAGAAGTTCCTCATTAGAAGTGACGTTTTTTCACTGCACTGATACAGAGACGAGTAATGCCTGCCTGCCAGCCTGGTCCTGAAGATGTGTCCTTTCCGTGTCCTTTTCCCCGGGTGCCCCAAAGGTGGAGGAGGTGCAGATGGTCCTGTTCCCTCCTTCCCCTCTGATTTTTTAGGGTTCCACCCAGAAGCAGAGAGGCGCTGGAGGCATGCCCAGCGTATCCCCACGCTTGCCCCACTTGCTGAGGAGTCCCTGAGTAGATCTCGGCTCCCCATCCACCCCTCAGGCAGAGCTCTGCCTAATGAGTCCCAGCCTCGGGTTTCCAACCTCATATTGAGCCATTAACATTTCCATTCTAAGCAATTACAAAACCTCCCTCAGGCACAGAGTGAATCTTTGAAACACAAGGAAATAAATCAGGTTGGCTGTTTTGGGGTAGGTTGACAGAGGTTGGTAAAGCAACCTTCAGTGTCAGCTGCAGGTTCCTGTCCTAAACCCATCCGAAACTAGCACTCAGCTTGGGGACCAAGTGGACATGAGAAGGAGTCCTGGAGATGAGCACAGGGTAGTGTTGAGATGTGCAGTTACACTGGTGTACTGGAGGTTGACACCTCAGCAGAGAGAGAGCTGTGACTTATGAAGTAATGGTGTCAGAGTCCCATCTCGTTAAACCAGTGCTGGCTACTCCTGGTCCTCATGGGTACATGTGCATCCATGCGGTGCACAGCTAAAGCAGGAGGGAGGTGATAAGGGGGTATGGGTGGTGGTGGTGTCCCCTGACACCCCTGAGTGGTGTCCCCGCCAGTATTTTTGTTGCCCAGAGGATGCACCACTGGAGGCAGAGCTTCAGTCCCCGTAGGGAGTCTGTCCATGACCTTGGGATTTCATGTCTGAGGCAGGTATTGCTTTGTGTCCTAGCAGGCATAAGAAAAATGGAAAAAAATGACCTCCAGTTACAGTTTTAATGTAATTTTAACCTCACAATGTTTGTTTTGCCTGATTTCTTTTTTTAATTTTTATTTTTTTCTTCCCCCTCCAGTTCATTACAGCGTGTTCAGTTCCCTTCCTGGAGACAAATATAAACCTTTTCCTTTTCCTCTCACTGACCTTTTTTTACCTTTGCAAATTCTCTCCAACAATGCTGTGTAAGAGTCTTTTAACTCCCTGGGGTTTGCCTAGCCACAATGCTTACTCCAACCTAGGCTTTCAACTCTAGTTTAGTCACTTGTGTTTAACCTCACTGGCTGGTCACTGCTGTAGCCCACATCGCTGTGGGGACTTCAGAGTCATACTGCCCTACAGAGGGAGATGAAGGGGAGTTAGAGCTGACCCCATGCCTGGTAACTGTGCCCTCTTGGAGCTCTGGGCTCAGGGACTGGCCTGCCTGGGCATGGCCATGGGTAGTGTGGCTGGATTGATCCTACAGGGTACAGAGAGCAGGAAGAAATCTGGGCTCTCACTTGAAAATCCTCTTATTGCTATGTATATGTAAAGTCTATCATGCCAAGCTTTTCTTCCCTTTTTGTAAGGTACTGTGGCCGTCCTTTGTGGGATATTTTCCTCTTTTTGTTGTTGTTGTTGTTGTTTAGTCATTTTATTTCTTTGTACTGAACCACAAAGTCATGAAAAGTAATTATTTTCCCTTATTTTTTTTTCAGATGTAACATTCATCCATGAAGGAAATAAAACATTTCTGGATAACCTTGTTAATTTTGAAAAACTGGTAAGTTAATTTTATCATTCCTGTTTTTCATAGAAATTCTCATTCTCTTCTTCCCTTTCCCCCTCTTATAAGACTAAAAGGTTTTCTTGTGAGTGAAAGAAGAGGAAGTAAACAGAGGTTAGCTCTGCTGCTTCAAAGAGCAAACAGGATAAGACAGCCATCAGTTGAACTCCCCTGCCTCCTTCCTCTGCTCCTCTTCTCATTCCTTCCTCCCTCCTTTTGTCCTGTAAAATAGTTGAGCCAGTGGTATCCAACATCAGTGCCACACAGTCCACTCAGTTCATTCCCAAAGAGACCTGTTCCTTTACACCACCTTGTGGACTGTTTCTCCTCAGTTAAGTCCACCTGCCTGAGCTTTCTCTGAGTTGTTTTATATTTTCTTAAGGCACCATAGAGAAGGTGGGTCCAGTTTAACACTAGTGCCTGGTATGCCAATTCCAGGGATTTCAAATTAAAATAAAATTTATGATCTAGGTTAGATGATGAAGATACTAATACCTAAAATGTGAATTAACCTGACTGTATGTATTACTATATTAACTGTTATATGGAAGGCAAATAATAGAAGTATCCTTGGGTACATCTATTCTATACATGCTGTGACATCTATGCTGGCATGATATTCCAGATGGAGTTTTGATTTTTCTCATTTGCATGTTCTTTGTTGATAACACTTCTGTAGCACTGAAAACCATAGCTAATATATCAGAACAGTGTTGGCATGGAGAAGTTTTGGTTTTGTTTGTCTGGCCTATTTGATCAAGAAACCAAAATGTTCTTCCTGGTTTCTCTAGATGTGCAATGGCACTGTGAGTCCAGATGGTTGTTCCAAGGGAATTGTTCCTACCTATTTTCTTCATGTGTTTACACTTATTCAAGAATGAACATGCAAACAGGGTGTTATTCATGAACCAGATGTTGAACTTTTTTTTTTTTTTCACATCCTAACATAACATATATTGTCTTTCAACTTATAAGCAGATGTAGACTTTGTCTTTTGAATTTGAGATCCTCTTTTTGTGTTTTCTATTTGATTCCCGTACCTTTTCTTGTTGCAGACTTTAGGAGATCACTGATTTGCATTTAATGAAAGGTTTCCTTGTCCCAAGTCCATTAACTGTTTGACCTTTAGGTGTTTGCATAAAACTCATTAGCATGTTCTTCTTCATTGCCTCTTGGAAGTACATCCAATTAACATGTAAATTAAACTAGCCCTTGATGCACAATAATTGTTACTTAAATCCCCCCACTGGCCCATATATTAATTTAGTGGAAATATACGATATGATTCTTATTTCAATCTTAGCCAGACCTTGTTGTTTGTTTGTTTAATGTCATGTATACATTTAATGTATGGTGGGCTTGCTTGGTAAGATTTCTTATCCTTCCTGTCACCACTGTGTCTCCAGAGGTGGTGGGATCTTTGCTAATTGACTTCAGTGAACCAGGATTTCACCTTTTTGATGGAAAAGGATAAATGGGGCATCTTAAATGGGGGAAGAGCCTGTGTGATGGTGGTGGGGTGGGGGTTGCTAACACTGACACTTCCTCCAAATTGTTAGTCAGATCACACCCTGAGGAACATGTTGTCTCATGGTTGTCCCAAGTCCTGTGTGCGTATGAATGCAGACAACAGTGCAAGCTACAGAAGTGGAAGCTTAGAAGAGATTTAAATAGGGGTGTAGGGAAACTCGGACAGTATATGTATCACACTGGTTCATTTGGATTCTAAGGTATTTAGTCTCCGGGCATGAATGTACTAACAAGGCGCTTCACACATCACCATGTATATGTCCATGTTTCTTTTCTACTTGTCTTTGTCCCAGTGAAGAAAGTCTTTTCTGGTGTTTTATTACTGTGCTGAGCACTTTCTGACCGCTTGAGAAAAATTAGGGTTGACATTGACTCCTGCTTAGTTTGGGTCAAGCTGCGGAACCTCACCTGCAAATTTGCTGTTGCAGAAAAAGAAGAAAAGAATTATTCTACCATAGCAGATTACTGCTTTGGGGAAGGAACTTACTCACTGTCATAAATACGTAGAGATTCTGCTTATGAATTTCAAAGCAAAGACGGTTTATTATGTCTTCATTTGAGTCAGTACTTTTGAAATATTTCAGGTCTGCATTAAGCACTTGACCTGAAGGAAGACTTGTTAGTCTGAACCATTGTTTTTTTCCAACAATATCAGATGGTTTAATAAAATATATAAGCTCTTACTGCAGTCCCTGCTTATTTTATATTCTTAAGCCATCATTGCCACAAAATCCTACCATGAGTGAACTTGATTTGACATTACATGATTGCAGTGAAGACAAAGTTAATTCAAAGTATAAAGAAAAGAATTTGCAAGGAGTAGAAAAATAAATGACCTTTTGTCTTTGGAATGTTACCCAGTAATAGCAAAATTTGAAGGGACTGCAGTGGTTTATTGAACTAAATGTTGGGTAAACTCTAGTCTACAATAGAGTTAGATTGCTACTTAATTCCATATACTCTTCATCTATAAATGAAAAGACAGTCTTATACCGTTACATCTGAAGATTTCCTGTGTATTTACTGAGTAGTTTCCCTGAATTGTGGCTTCAATTTTTTTTTCAGTAGGCAGCCATCACCCATATCTTAACAATGACATGTCTTAGATACACTTCAACAAACTCTAATACAGGTCAGTGGCCATTACCGTTTTAGATAATGCCATCTTACATAGTATCTTCAGCAGTGAAAACTGTACATGCAGCTGAAGATTTTCAACCTTCCCCAACCCCCAAATATCTGTACAATTCCCAAGACTGAGCTTTTGCTTTCATCAGTTAAAGGAGTGCTAATGATCCTAGGTAGCTGGGAGGCTGAAAACCCACAAGAAATATGTTATTCATCACACTAATGGTACGCAAGCATCTGTTTAAACAGTAAGGAAATAGCATTTACTTTGCAGATGAATAAGCTGATTTTCTGTATTACAATTGGATCCCAGAGAGTTGGAAATGGACAGATGCTCTAATTGGGCTAGTAAAGAAGAGAGATTTGGGATTCTGCTTTAATAGTGTTACACAAATAAGTTCTTCACCACCACAGCATCACCTTCAGAAGCTATCTTGGGATGGACCCCACACTGACTGATAAAAGAAGCAGCAAAGAATGAGAGTGTGTGTGGTAAGGGGGGGGAGGGGAGTTCTCTTAATTCTAGGAACTAGATTCAAAGGGTAGCAGCTGAAAACTATGAAACACATTCTATGTTTCTATGTTAGAAATATCACAGTGGCAGCAGTGGTGGAAGTTGTAGCTTTCCCAATACCCGCACTATTGACCATGAAGGACATCTCTTAGGAACTTCATTATAATCGGTGCAAGAACATCAGCACAAGAGATTGTGTGATTGTATGGTAAATGAAGTACAACATGTAGCAAAAATATATTTTAAAAATTGATTCACCGAATGTGAAGTTTCCATTAAAGCTGTTTTTCCTGTGATAAGCTTTCCTGCAGAGGAATTCTGTAAGCTACTCTCTAAGTGTTGAGAGAAGAGCTGTTCTATGTCATTCTGATTTTATACATATTTTGCTGAGGACAGGTAATCTGTTCCATCTCTGTTTATTTTTGAGGGAGATATAAAAACACCATGAACAGTTTTGCAATGAATAGTTAAGCAATTTGCTTAAATCATTGATCAGATTTGGTGAGAAGTTGTTGGCCAAATTCTGTATGTTTTCACTTTTCTATCACTGAAGCAATCAAATAAATAAGAGTAATGCTTCAACAAATGTATGGGTGAAATCTAGTGAAAATGAGTTTATTTGCTGATTTGTAGTGAACAGTTCCAGTTTTTGTAGGTTGAAGACCTGAGCCTGAATGAGAAACCAGACTTAAACCTTTTATTTCCTCTGCGTAATCTAAATGAACGTCCAAAATTTACTGTACCTCAGAAGAACAGTAAAATGACAATGTTTTAAATAAATGCCATATCAAAGTAAACCATGTATCATGAGTTATGATTTGTTGGAACTGTAAAATGGACAGATATTTGTAACTCAGGGGAGGAAAAATAACTGCAGGAGTGTATTAAGAAGCACTGAAGAGAAATCTCTCATGTAGCCTGAATTTCCTACCTGCACTACCATGATATTCTTCCAGAGAATGGCCAAGACAAGACATTTCCAGTTCTTGTAGCACCACTGTATGGCTGTTGCAGCAGTCTTTCAGATGAATTATGATTCTGTAACCAATGATCCCAAGATGGTTTAATTATTCTACCATGAGGGAATCTGAATATAAATAGCTGCTGAAACATTGTACATGGCCCCACACTAAATGGAGAGAAGTTGACAACTACAAATGCATCTTTCTTAATCTTTCTTACCTCTGATTTATGGATTGGAAAGAAGAATTAAAGTTCAAATTTAAAGATATTTTTTGTTCCAGCATCAACTGAAGGTGAATTCTGCAGTGCCATCATTAATACTTTGTTAAAGTCATTTTTTTTTCCAATAGTATTCTGAGTTTACATTTCATTTTTCCAGGACTTCATTTTCTCAGAGCATTAAAATCTTTCACCTTTAGTTGGAAAGCCCAGTAAATTAAAAAGTACATCATTCTGAGACACATAGGGGAAGACTGGTTTGTTATTACTTATGTTCTTCCACAACACAACTTGCTGTTCTAATTACCTAGGAATGCTTTTTGTTCCGTATTCTATAGACAGGTGTCTTGTGAGTGTGGAAGGTTCCAAGTCATTTACTGTGCTTATACTTTGTTCTGCAAAATGGGACAAAATTCTCCTTTTGGGAGGCAAGAGAATAATATATTCCTGTTAACGACAGCTTTTTTTTAAAACGGAATGCCATTCCTTGGAAAATGTCTATGGAGATGTTAGGGTGTTTTGTCTATCTGGGATGTGGGCTGTATTTTTGTGTGTTGGTTATCTTAATACAGAAAACTGCTTAACTGATAGTAGGACCTGCTTGTGCTAGGCAGCATATGGATATATGCTGAGGTTTTGGCTGGGCTACAGAGAGCTTGCAGCCCAATTAAACAACACATGGATACAGAAGGAGAGGTTGCAGAATACTGGAGGCCCTGGATAATGCACTAAAGACAGGAGTTGGATGCAGAAGTACCCAGCTAATCCACACAACTTTCCTCTTGTAGCCTTTCGGTTTAATAAAAATCATGAGTACAAAAAATAAGTAATTGTATGGCTGTTTTTCATTATTGCTTTCCATGGGCTCTTTGGGAGTTGTTCTCATTTAATCTGTGCAATACCAATAAGGACCTCCTGAACTAACCTTGTTTCATCATATATTACCACTGTGCCAGAGAGCAGGGTAGCCTTTCTGTTGTTCCCCCACTGTCCTCATTTACTACTTTACTACAGTTGATTTTTGCTTTACAGCATAAGGTGAGGAGACTTTTCAGGATTTTCTAATGACAGAAGCCATCTCTGATTTTTGCACTGATGTTTTATCTGTCCTGTCTTTGCAGCACATGATTGCAGATACTGTTCGATCGTTGAGGCATTGCAGAAATAACCAGTTTGGTAAGTAGACAGATTTGCTCCTTGATTTGCCTTTTTACAGACATGGGGGTGATTGTATTTTCTGTTTTGTTTGGTTTTGTTTTCTTTCTTTCTTTCTTTCTTTCTTTCTTTCTTTCTTTCTTTCTTTCTTTCTTTCTTTCTTTCTTTCTTTCTTTCTTTCTTTCTTTCTTTCTTTCTTTCTTTCTTTCTTTCTTTCTTTCTTTCTTTCTTTCTTTCTTTCTTTCTTTCTTTCTTTCCACTTGCTTTGCTTTATTTCAGCAGCAAAAAATTATTGCCAGTTATTTAAGCAACTGGGAAGAGGGGATGTAATTTCTGGAAAGTCAAGACAGCAGTAACCAGAGTTGGATAAAATTTTAGTTTACAAAATGTCCGTAGAACATTTCCAGATTTATTTTTTATTTTTTTATATATATATAAATGATTTTCCTGCAAAAATTACTACCTTCCCAAAATACTGGGAATGATAAAACAAGATACAAGTATAGATGTGCAAACTGCACTTAATAAAGGAGGTTGCTGTTTCTCAGTTTCCCAGCTATAGCTCAGTTACCTCAGTCTGTTCTGGAGAGACTGACACCATGGAAGCAGTAGACACCAGAGAATCAAACCCTAAAGGCCCATGTTAGAAGACCCTAGCTTGCTTTCGTCTGCTGGTAACACAGAAGGAACCTTGTTTGTTTTTCTCCTCAGCAATTCTCATTCTCTGCAGAGGGGTTAAACACAGGATGGGGACAAACACCACAGTTCTTAAGGAAGTGGTTAGAGTTTTTAAGCCAAACACACTGAATATGTAATTTACCGAGGCCACTAAAACCTCTTTTCCAAAGAGCTTCAGAACTGTGCTGTAGCATGAATGTGGGATTTTCATGGTTATGGAGAAAGAGTTTGAACCATCTTCTTTGCAGCTGTATTTTCAGCAGCTGGCAGCAGAGACACTGACAAAAATAAATAAATAAATAGTGTATAAATACATTTACACACATATAGAACTATAGGTACTATTAAGATTTTTGATTTTTTTTTTTTTTTAAATTGCTTGCACATATACACTGACTTTTTTAAAAAAAGAAAGGTAGCTTACTATGGTTTTTGTGTTATTTTAATACTTACATACAGAAAGAATGGGAGAAGAGTTACATTTTTTTTTTCTGTTAAACCAGAAACTGAAGAAAATAATGAATAATCCAACCCATATTTCTATGTTAAATGTCTTTTATTTGGCATTATAAAATGGTGTCATTGGTTCCTTATAACGAGGTGAATTTTTTTCAGCTTCTTTGCAAAGCTTTCATCTCATCTTTGCTTTTTTATTTTATTTTATTTTTATGAGAGGTTTTGTAAGTGTTGCAACATAAATCTAAGGCTAATACCTGAGATTTATCATATAATCTGGTAGTTTGAAGTACACGTTGTTATTTTATTTTACCACAGACTTGATTTATTGTGAAGCTGGCATTAAAAAGCAGCTTATACAGATATCCCTGTAGGCACACTTTTTTTTTTTTTTTTTTGTTAGATTCATTTAGGCATGAAATGAATTCACTGAATATTTATCGAGACTTTATGGACAGTTTCCTTTTCTAGTGGGCTTATTTTGCTCTCAGGAATGTGAATCTTTCTACTGCATCAACTCCCAGATTGGCCTGAGAGCAGCAGGCATCTTACTGTAGGAAAGAATTCAAACAAAGCCAAGCAAGGAATATTATTATTGTTTATGAACTGTATCATGTCTATTAAGTGTCTTTCTGGATCAGAAGCTGATTAGGTTCCAAGTAAGATTGAAATGCATTTTTAATGGAAACAATACTTTTATATCCTGAAAACAAATAAAAGCATTTCCAAAATCAGTCAAAGCAGCCTGAACAAATAACACAGTTGAAGCTTTTTGTAATTTCAGGTGTTAATGAGAAATACTAATGTTTTTCAATACATGTAGCACAGCTGCTGTGATCTATTCCCCAGCACCAGAAAGGTCACTGATATATTCTGACACAGATTTATCACATTGTCCTGTTCTCTCCCACATTTCTGAAGTCAGATAGGTGCTTAGAAATAGCTCCTAAAAATAGCTTCCCAAGAACACCATTAACAGCTGCATGCAGAAGCTGCTGCTTTGACATCTCACGTTACTTGCATAGCATCAAACAGTGCTCAGTAGAAACAAGTAGGATGGTTGGTTCCTGGAAAGCTTCTCATGTAGCTGGAGAGTGTGGAAAAAAGGATGATAATGAAACAAAAGAGAGGGAGGGAGCGTGCAAGTTAAGCCGATTGGTTTGTGGAGTTTTAAGGGTTTTCTCCTTTAATTTATGGTAATGTTATTAAAAATTCCCTGAGGACAAGGACTGGAACAGAGCTCTTCAGCCTTCGCCAGTTTGTTAACAGTCAGCAATGGAGGGCAATGCATCTTGTTGTTTTCTCTGCCTGTCTCAGTAGCAGTGGATTTAGCTTTTCCTTTTCTGCGTCTGCCGGCTGGGAGGTTTCACAGGCAGTGAGTTCCCAAAAGCTCATACCAAGCTTGACAACTGTAGCAGAAAACACACGCTCTTCAAGCCACCCTTGAATTTGCAAGTTGCGCAGCTAATTCCTCTTGCCATATAAGCTCCCATGAAAGAGCAGCGAGATTCTGTTATTAGACAGAAATCAAAAGCATAACAGATGAAAACCCAGGGGCCTGCAGAGCAGCTTTGAAGAACTTCAGCATCCGTCTGCTGCACTGTTGCCTTTTACCTTCTCCAAAGGAAATGACTCGGGGGCCTGCTGTCTTACCTATTTGTTCTGAAACTGTGGAGGAGTTACAGGCTGGATCACCCACCCCTGCTCAGGGTTACCCGTTGCTCTGTGAGGGAGCCCTTGCATTGCTCTGGCAGGGGACATGCCGCCCACGTTCCCAGCAGCAGCACATCTTCCTCCTGGGAAGTTCAGTGTCCTGCCACCCTCCTGCCCCTCCTGCTCTGCCTACACGTGTGCAAGCTGTCTGGTGTTGGCTACTTCTTCCTTCCTCCTCCCCTTTCCTGTATCTATCTGCTACCTCACGGGTTGCACTGAAATAGCAAGTCCTTTGTGTTGCTGGCATGCAGAAATGAGCAGCAGGCAAGGTGCAGCTCTCTGATTCCTTCCCTTTCTCTGTCCTGTAGGCAATGAAGTTCCTTCAAAAGAGCACCATGAACTGAAGCCATATGTCCACCACCTGCATGTCATCGACAACCAGCAAGCTCTCTTCGAGCTTTCTCACAGGATAGAGCCACGCGTGTGAGCGTACGCAGCTTCGTATAACCTTGTAACTGCAGCACTTTGAATTAAGTGAATGTTTATGCCAAGCATGTTGCTTCCCTATACGAGAACAGTTTACTGAGTTTTATCAGTAGCTCACACAACATGCACAGGAAAATCGGGCAGAGCAAGCAAAGAAGCTGCTCACAGAGCTGCAGGGTAAGCTTGGTGCTGTCCCCGCTCGTCACCAAGCAGAGCAGTGTTCTTTGAGCTCAAGAGCTTGGTTTCTGTGAAAATATTGTTTGGTCCAGTGTAGCTTTCAATGCAGATTCTGCCAGTATTAGAAAGAAAGGAAGCGTCACATCACAGCAGCAAACCATTGCAGCAAGCAACATGAAGCAAGGGGATTCGCAGTTGGTCGCAGTGTGTACCTCACTAATTCAAGGTTGCCAAAAATACTGTGCAATCCGGGCAGCTCCCCTGCATCCACCGGAGCATCTTTTTTGGGATGAGTGCGGACAACCAAGGACTGGAACATAAAAAGGCAGCACACCAGGTGAAGTTCAAGAGTGTGTCATGATTTGGAGGTCAGTAAACAGTTGATACTGTAATGGCCCCTTAGGAATCTGCTTTATAAAACACACTGTAGGAGCCAGTCCACTTTTGTTGCAGTTTCTGGACACAATTGTTTGTACACAGAAAATGTGTTACTTTCTTCCTTTTCATTTATCTCAGATTTAGTACTAACCGCATTTAAAGGGTTATAGACTGTTATAGAGGAGCTGCGTTTTTTCAGCTTGGATTACACCCTCCTTTGTGTCAATTCAGAGGCAATGCCTAGGCTCATCTACATTCCTGACTAACCTTCTGGAAATGCTCTGTTTTAGCAGGTAAGATTTCACCTAACTCGCACAAGCTTCCAGTTCCTAAAGAACAGCACTGTACACCCTGCAGTATAACGACCTGCATACACATCAGGCTGTTGGCATTAGGGTCCCTTTCTACTTCTGTGCACCTCACACATTTTCCTTAGCCAATTTTCATGTAATTAAAAGTAGTACTTCAGGGCACGTACTGAGGCAGCAGTTCTAAAGTCCTGTCTACAACTGACCTAAATCTACACACCGCTCTCACCATAGCTCCGGTTTTCAGCATGAAGAAGTTACACAAAATAATGTGTGCTGTTCTGCCTGGCACTCTCATTCATACACAGACATGCAGTAACAGTCCCTTTGCAGAGCAGGGAGGTGGATACATTGCACCACTCTGCCCGTCTCTATCCTATGTTTTCCACGTGAGGAAGATGTCCAAGAAGATGCTCCTTTACTGAAATGTGGATCTACTGAACTAGCATGCTCTTCATCATTGTGTTATCTCTGGTTTAAAGGGATTTTTAAAAAGCAGCTTTAATAAGTAGTCTGTGGGGAAAATCTGTAGAATGCATTCAGTTTTCCCATCTGTGAAATATTGTATAGATCTATTGTAAAGGAAACAGATGTTTCAGAAATGTATTTGCTTGTACTTTGTTATTATCAAATACTATATGACTTTTTTTTTTTTTTTTAAAGAAAAAAAAATCTTCTTTTTACCCAGTAAAAAGAAAGAAAAAAAATAAACTCTTGCTGGCCATGGAGTAAAAATTTCCTATGTTCTTCTGTAGATGTGACTGCACATATTGTAAATAAGTCTTTTGTGCAAACAGACCAAAACTGTTCAGATGAGTATACTAGCTGCAGTGGACTCCCTTTTTGCAGTGTAAGAACACAAACCATGGGTTGAATTTGCTTCTTGTTTTGTTGCAGTTCTTCCTCTGGCTCCAGCACTCCCTGAATCCCCACCCTTAGATGCATTACCTGCATTGTCTGCTGGTTTTTGAGCTCCCCCTTGTGAAATCTCATTACTACAATGTTATTTTTAAGAGCCTGCATGTAGACCTGACTGCATGCATTAGCACATATGTTATAATGCTATTCCACAAGTTGTTCTGTTGAAAACTGTGGGAGAGGGAGCATAAGAAAGTACTTGCAGTTCACTGCATTCAGCTCTGTGATAGTTTTGGTGGTTACTGCTGTTGAAGCAGCAGCAGTGCCGGAGAAGAATAAAGGAAATGAAAGAAGAGAGGAAAAAAATAAATAAAAAAGACAACAGCTCTGGCTTTAACTTGAAAGTATGCTAAAGCCAGCTTGAAGTCTCCTCACTGCCAGTTCAAACTGGCTGAAGTAAGTTGTTGGGTAATGTACCAGTGGGCTTCAAGCCAGCCTGAGCATTGGCTTTCTGCACCACTGTAACTTCATACTGAATCGGGTGTTGTCTGTCCCTTACAGCTGGCATGAAATCAGTTTGAAGGCACAAAGCCAGCACTAAGCATGTTATCCAAGTTCTGGCTAACTGGACTATTTTTTAAAACTTTACAAACTAATTTTTGTAGTGGCCTTTATTATTTGAATATGACTTGATGGTCTGAGGGACCGACTTTGGTGCATCAATTTCACATTGAAAATATGGGTCTTTAATGTTATCTAGAAGAAAGGCAAGTAGCCCAAATAATATGTCTAACAAACAAAAAGGCCTGTCAAAGTCTTCCTTCAACACCTGAAGTATTGCAGAGCTGGGCTTCGGACTGGCAGGCACTTTGAAGGTGTGGTGGGAGGAGAAACAAACCCTGTGAAAGTGCCAGGGGCACTACATAGCCTCTCCCGGGGCCCAGCACAGGTAAAACTGTGATTTTTAAAATTCATTCTTGCCCAATAGCACATTTATGTTACATGGATAAAATCCATGAATCTGTAAGTTCAGTATATCACAGTGACACCTGAGGTTAAATATTCTGCATATTTTCATGAGTAGCTAGGAGGAGTAATTAGACAAAACCAAGGAAAAAGCTAGGTCACCCTACACATCTGATGTGTGATTTTGCTGCATCAAATGTAGATGCTTCCATTATTTGATTCTAACCCCATTTCAGATAGAAGTTAACTGCATTTGCATGACACTAGCAAAAAAATAAAAATAAAAAGTATATTGAAACAATAAGATACGTGGCTGTAAAATTACAAAGAAAGATGTAAATACTAAACATTTTAGCAGAGTAATATTTATTTGCATAGCCTATTTATTGTCATCTTATTACACTGTTAAGAAATACTGGGATGAAGTCAGTGAGCTGAGGTAAGAACACCTGCCTGTTATGTTCTCTCTGAGTGCCATAATGCTGTCAGCTTGCATTAAAAGTAATAAAACAGAAAACCCCAAATCAAGGTATTTACCTAACTTCTCAGGGACTACAGCTAGTAGTTATCCACCGCTATGAGACCTGGTATGTATGAAATAATCTGATTTACCAGAATCAATGTTGCCAATGTTTTCCTTTTCATATTTCATGCTTGTCTGCCTCTGTACATATTAATTGTGTTGTGTATTTATGAGAGCTAGTAAGCAATAATTTATATGTCAAAATGGCCAAGCAATACAAGGTTAAAACTTGTAGAAGCAACTGTTACACTTATCTTGCATTTTCCAGTGTTTTTTAATATTGCTTTTCAAAATATAAAAACTACCTTAATGAAGACTGGGCTCTGTGCCTTCCTGCCTATCGCACATCCTTTTTATTCCTAACCATAATATTTTATGCTCATACTTATTCAACTCCGTAGCCCCTCTCTGTGTTTGTGAGGTGGATGCAGTGCCTGGCTTGGGAGCCTGGCTCTATTCAGAGCCACTGGTACCTCTCTGGTTGGTGGGTCTTGCTGATGCTGATAAATACTAGGTGATTTCAGAAGCAGAGATTATATTAACGGGGTCTCAGCTGTTCCTTATCATCACCACACAGTCTAAGAGGGGCCTGGAGCCATGGTGAGAAGTCCCTGTGGGAGAGGGGAGGAGTACATCTATCTTCAAATTCCCTGGAGTCTGCTTATCAGCACTTGATCCTCTTAGCGAGGGGAGCAAATGCTTTCCCCTCACATCATTTGTCCTTGCTGCTGCTTCTCTGGTTTCCTCTCTCTTCTCTCAGCTTGTCTGGAGTGTGACAGTCAGAGCCTGCAATGAGCAGTGAGTGTTCTGTAATGCACCTGAGGCTTGTCTGCTCCTTCCATCCTTTCCACTCATAAACTAAGAACCACTAAGCCAAGCCTGGCTATTTCACACACAAATAACACTTGGTACCTATGGTGTGGTGTCTGTTTGAAGTGCTTTATAAACAGGCAGTGCTTCATCCTCTAAGTGGCTGAACCTTACCTAGACCTTTAAACTTGATCAACAAAGTATGTGTGACAGTGTGATATCTAGGTAGGGTGTATAATAATTGAAACTGGAATAATTGAAAAGGTACAAGCCCAAAATGTTGATACAGCTCTATAATATCATTTAAAGATTTTTCCATGCTGTCAGGACCATGCAGATATGTAGGACTGAGGACAGGTACCTCAGCTCCAGCTATGCTAGAAGAGCCATAAGAAGAGGCTGCCGCACTCAGCAGCTGATCTCTAAACGTGGTTCCTTCAAACTGTCTTGCTGAATTATTAAGGCAAGGGTTCCCTTGTTTTTCTCAACCAAAAAAAGAGCTTCAGTGGCAAAAACATGTAGTTTAAGCTGCCATGGGAAGGCAAGAGGAAGCAGGTGGGGGCAGTTTGCTGGGGTGAACTGTACAAAACAGGACTGGCCTGCCCTGAGGCAGTCTGTCTGCCTTGTGCAGAGGTGATTCCCTCTTCTCTGTGTAAGAAAGAGCCAAGCCTGAAAAATAAACCTGAATATTTGCTCTGTTTCACATCTCAGCAGGTTTCCATGCCACAGTGAGCACCTGCCCTGGGTCATGCCCTCTTCTGCTGTGGGGAAGGCAGCTGAGCACACACACAACACAGCCCAAAGCAGCAGGTTAAACAACACCTCCTCGGGCTCCAGCACTCAGCATTTACAGCTCCTACAGCAACCACCATGTCACGCAGACAGCACAAGTAGCTACAGTAACACCTTGAAATACGTGGCTGATCAGGTATCAGAGAATCACACAGTGCAGTTCATCTATCAGTGTAGGCCTGAAGACACGGGGCAAATAAACAGTCTGAAGCAAGGAGATAAATATTTTCCTCTGCATTCGCTCCAGTCTGGAAGAAGGCTGCTGGACTTCATAAGACCTTTATAAAAGTCCAGAAAGCCTAGGGAAAGTGAGCTTTGGCATGTGCCCAGCCTCGGAGGTCAGGGATGATGCAGTCTGCATACTGGCTTTTAGCTTTCACTGCCATTTTCACTCCACCACCTCAGAGGTCTGTACTGCCAGTGATTTGCAGAGGCACCATCCTTCACAGATCATCCTAGACTCTGCAGTTTTGGGAACTGGCTGGGCTTCAGCATTATCTTCCATCCCTCTCCTATCCCAGGCAGACTATGAAAGGAGAGAAAGGGGGACAATCCTGAAAGCCTCAGAAAGCTTCCTTTGCTCAGAAGGGTGCTGCAAACTCTTTCCTGGTCCTGCTTCCCCAGGGGGAATCCTCAAGGTAGAGGTAACTTTTGTCCTTACCATTGATAAAAACACAGCAAGCAAGAGAAAGCATTTAAGATCCATTTAATTTGGGTCTCAGGAGAGAGAGAAGAGCTATTCAGGAGGCCACATAAACCCAGCAGGTGAAGGGGAAGCTCTTTGTGGGTCTGATTGATAGCACCTGTATATTGGCCTGCTTAAGTCGTTAACTTGTAAGAAGTGGAGAATGCAGGGTTTGTGTATAAGCAGTTTGTCCTTGTGTGTGTGGACTAGCTGTAGTGTGCCTTAAGGTCCTGGTACCATTGATAACTCTCTGTAAAGTTTCAGCTATCTCTGAAGGACGGAATCAGAGCAGTCCTGGGGTGCTAAGAAATACTGATTCAGCAATGTTTAGAATAAGTTTTGGTAGCAAGTTCTTTGACCTTTAATTTACAGAAGGTTGGAGAAGCACAAGTCTAAAATGAGTAAGAAATGAAGCAGAACTAAATGAGCAGAAGAACACCAAAGGATAGTTACTGTGGTAGCTTCCCTTGATTGATTTAAATAATTACTTCTGTGGAAAGATGGGGTATGAACTGTATGATATCTGGAACAGGTTTTCTTTTTGTCTTGCACTTGAATTCTTGCAGAAAGTTGTCAAGGCTTCTAAAACTTGAGCAGGTTGGGTTCTTGTCTTGGCCTCCTGCTGTTGTTCTGTCACAGGTGCAGGTCCTTTCCTCTCCACAGGAATATGGGTTTGATGGAGCCTTACTTGTCATGGGGAAGTGACACTGACAGAAGTCACCCATTTAACCTAAGGGTCTCTTGAGAGAGGCACCACCAGCTGTGACAGATGGCTTGAGAGCACAGAGCTGGAGGGGAATTTACCAAGAAATGTAAATAGTGATGATTCAAACCTAGGGATGACAAAGGATGGTGAATATCAAACCCCAGATCAAGCAGTTCCACAGTAAGTTGTACAGGCTTTTAACAAATATTTGTGCAAGCTCTCTTTTATGCACGAAGAAGGTTTGTATTGCTTGATGAGCAATTAAACTGCTGCTGAGGCCACTTGGGCCTGATTCCTGCATAGGCCTGCTCCCATGATGAGTGCTGTCGGTGGAGGTGACTAGGACAAACAAACTTCTGTTGAGGGATTTGGCTCAGCATTTCAGGGCAACAGTTTGTCAGCCATAAATCCCCTGAAAATGTGGAATCTTATGGTTATGTCAAGCACTTCAGAAAAAGCTTCCATTGAAACAAACCCAGCTACTGTTGTAAGGGAATCTCTCCCCTTTCATTCAGAGCAACAATGGAAAGTTACGTTAACCTATTGATTATTGGTTGGAAGCCTCTATGTAAGTCCAAACAGATGATGATGTGATGATAGGAACTATCAGAGAGGCATATGACTTGACTAGGAATGATTTGAATGAGTTCAAAATAGTTTAGAATTAATATAGACATTCTTGCTTACTGTTTATTTGATGAGGTTTACTTCATTTTAAGCGAAGTAGCTAACTTTAAAAAGATTTTCTGCTGAATAGTATAATTCAGTTTAGCCAATTAAATTTTATTTTTATGCTTTTTGCCAGTGTGGATTAATTCTCAGAGTGATATGAATGAGTCCAGGAGACTCGATCTGTGTTTGTGCAAGTGCAAATGAGGAGAGACTTGGGCTAAATGCTGAGGCTTTCTGGGGAAGTTGAGTGATATCATAAGTATCATTTCCTGACAAGAACTAGAGAAGAAACCGCCAGTGCCAAGTTTTATGAAAAGACAGGCAGGGTGCTTACAGGGAGCATCTCAGTAAGGAGCACATCATCATTTTGACCAAGGAGAGGGCTTGGTTGGTGTGGTTGCTTCCAGCAAAAGCTGCTGCCAGTTTGAACAAACTTTTCTTGCAGCCAATCTGCTCGTAGCTGTAGCTTCTCTTTCCAAAACTCAGATACCATTGACATCTAGTGGTGAAATCCTGTGCCTGGAGAGACAGTTTATTGCATCAAAACTGCCTGTGTGATCTCGAGGGACTGAAGGCCATAGTGCAGCTGTGAAAGGCTCCTGTCATCTGTGTGGTCCGCTGACCCCCGTTTATTAGATCTGTTGACTCAGATTCCCATTTAAGTGGATTGATGTGATTATCTGTTCAGCCTTTTTGTGCACGTTTCCCCCTGGATTTAGTTTCCAGCTTTTATGATGAGAGGGCACATTCACTTAGGACAGATGCTAATGGGAATAAAGACCTTCACCTCCTCATCTGCCAGTAGCCCCCCGAGTCAGCATCTCATCCAAAGCTGCTGGCTGCAACGTGAGCATTTGGCCTGGGCTAGCTTCTCTAAACATGCCACAGAGTTGTCTGTATGTATTTGACAGAAGCAAGCAAATTCGCTACCTGCTGGGTTAATAACACAATGCTGAGCTTGGTGTTTCATCCAAGTAGCAGTTCTGTGAGCCCAAGGAGAGCTTTTGTTGATGGTGGTGGTTGTTTTTTGTTTGTATATGTTTTGGTTTTGAGGAAGGTGCTGTGGTACATGTGCTCTGTTGGTGTTTGTTTGCAGCTATGTTCACCTGACCTTTGAAAAGCAGGAGGTTAAGCTGTTTTGTATAGCATTGCTGGGCTTTGATCCCAAATACAATGTGCTGCAAATGTACTGCACTGTGAAAGGAAAACAGGTTGCTCCTGGTTTCAGATCTCTCAGGTGTATCTGTCAGGAGGCCAGGAGGTACAGCCCTGCTGGATTGTCCCCTGGAGCAGACATGGGGCAGTGCTGCACCTGGGGTAGGTGCTTTGGGGATGGTCTGCAATCTCTCTGCCATCATGGGTCATGTCCTCTTCACCCTGGGCACAGCACCCCAAATTCCCCATTTCTGCAGTGCCCCCATGTGCACAGCTGGGTCAGTGACTGAGCACACTGGGGCCAGCCAGCTGGAGCTGGCATATGGTGTCACAGGGAAGCTGCAAACGCATAAAACAATGGAGCATTTGGGAATCAGTCATGTTACAAGTCACTGGTTGGAAGTCAGTGACTACTAAAAGGAGTAAAATTCAGAAAGGTTGAACATTGCTGCTGCTGGTCAGTGACAGCTGCAGGTTTTAGGGACTCTGGGAAAAT